GGGCCATGAGGCACCGTGAGAGGCTGTGAGGCACCATGAGGGGCTGTAAGGGGTTGTGAGGGACCATGAGGGGCTGTAAGGGGCTATGAGTTGCCGTGAGGGGCCGCAGCCCTGGCAGGAGAGACTTCCCAACATGTTCCCAAGGCAGGGCAGCCGTGAGGGGCCGCGAGTGCAGAAGTGGCTGCAGAGCAGGCTCAGGGTACCTCTCTGAGGGGGTGAGACCCTTCCCCAGCTTCAAACTGCACCAAAGCCCCCATAAATGTGACTTTTCAGCCTTAGAAACCATTGGCAACTTAGAAGTGAATGTGCAGCTTAATGACAGCGTGACGAGGAAAGGAATCCAAGTCATTGGAACTGGGACACTAACACAGGAAGGTAAAACAGTTTTCTCCTCAGACTGAACCTTCTAGACAGGGCAGAGGCTGCGACCTCCACTTAGTGTGGTTTATTAATATAATAAGTAAATAAATTACACGGACTCGGCTAGCTTCTTGGGGGTGCAGAGCCAAATCTGTTTATTTCAAAGAAAAGTCCTCCTTTTAACCCCTCCGGAGGACATGTGACCGCCCGGCCAATGGCAGCATAGCACACACTGCGCATGCGCCTCTGTAGTCCGTCTAGGACTCCAACTCCCATGATGCATCCCCTGCATCCCTTGGGACCCGTCCGCTGCAACTTAGTTGAGAGACTCACTGAGGTCTGTTCAGTGACCGCTCCCTTTTATTTGAATCAAAGGTTATTTTTTTCTAGTTAGCTCCTCTGTCTCCTGGCTATTTATGTTGTGGTGGGTTGACCTTGGCTGGATGCCAGGTGCCCACTCGACCGCTCTGTCACTGCCCTTCCCAGCAGGACAGGGGAGAGAGTAAGGTGGAAAACAACTCGTGGGTTGGGATAAGGCAGTTTGTTTAAAGTGAAAGCAAAGCGAAAGCTTGTGTGCACAAAAGTGAAGCAAAGTGAAAGATAACACGGTTTATTCTCTGTTTCCCATCAGCAGCAATGGTTGGCCACTTCCAAGAAGCCGGGCTTCAATACACGTGATGGTTTCATGGTTTCAAGGTGGCCATTGGAGACATGAATGTCCCCCTTCCTGCTCCTTTCCTCAGCTTTTATATCTGAGCTGACACTATACGGTCTGTGTAATAGATTAGTAGTAGTAACATAATTTACTCATCAAATTATTAGTAAAGTAATTTACTAATTCAATGGTATTGCATGTTATATTTATATATATATATATATATAATTGTAATCAAGGTTCTGTTAAGGCCGGTGGACTGTAAATTGCAGAATGGGCAATTAATCTGTCAGTACTATAAGCTGATAGTCCTGCAGCTGCAGTTCCTAAGCTGACAAAACAAGTTGTTTTGCCTTACTGAATAAGTCTTTTGTATATTGTCTAAAAGTGTACGCTTAAAGTAACAAAGGAAAGGACAAAGATCAAAGGGTCAAGAACGAAGACGATAAAAAGTATCCAAGATGGACATCTGGAGAGACTCACACAGTAGGCCTCAAGGACGAAAAATTACCTAAAACTGTGGAAAAGAAAGTACCTGGCAACTGAAAGCGAGCTTGCAAAAGAACCAACCAGAACCAGACGTGCGAACTCAGATCCAATAGAAGGATAACAAGTGACTATGGGAAGGGAATTGACAACAGTATAAAGAACACTGGTTTTGCCCACTGCTTTGCTGGCCGTGTGTGGAGCAGGGGTCTCCCCGGCAGCCCAGCGCGCTGATTTGCTTATTTGCAATTTATATAAATCTTTAACAAATTTTTGCTGCTATATTTCAGCCTAAGTTTCATTTTATCTATAACATCTGGAACGTCCCCTTGGTCAGTTTGGGTCAGCTGGCCTGGCTGCGTCCCTTCCCAGGATCTTGCCCTCAACTGAGGAAAGAATGTTACAGGGCTGATGCTGTGCCAGCCCCGCTCAGCAGTAGCCAAAACACCAGTGTGTTATCAACACCCTTCTAGCTACCAATGTAAAGCACAGCACTGGGAGGGCTGCTATGGGACAATGAACTCCAGCTCAGCCAGACCCAACACATATGTGTTCCCCAATATGTGGAATTTTGGGATAAATGTAATTCTGAAGGCCGGCTGTGGGCCCTGGAATCTCAGATCCAAGGAAAAACTGGAAAGGCTTTTTACAAAGACTGACACTGATGAGCTAACAGATGAATGTGTGTGAAAAAATATTTGACAATTTTGGAGGCTTCAAATCTGTTTTATTTTTTTCCCTCTAACTGCTTATCTTTGCCTCCTTTTGCACTAAAGAAGCCTTATTCAACCAGCTGGGAAGGCAAACCTCATTCCTGGCCCTTGCTAGTGTTGCCCACACAACATTTGTATCCCCCTGTGGCTTCTTCCCTCAGGGAAAGCAAAATAGAGTTGCTTTGGAGCAGCAAATAGAACCTGCAGAGGGAAGTGCTGCTCATCCCAGCCTAACTTACACAATGATCGTGCTGACAGGGAACCCCAGGATTCCCTCTCAGGGGAGCCCCTGCAAACACTTCCCCATCTATTATGTCTACTCCAAGCAGACACTGGCAAAATCCTGTCTCTCCTATGGTGCAAGGCCAGGACCCAAAAATCACACTTGAAATGCCGGATTCTGGCCCGTTTCTGCATCTGGCAAGATGGGGGGTTACAGCATTATCTAGAGAAACTTCCTTTACTTCATATTCCAACTTGCAAAACCAGCCCATTGAAAGTGGGTTGAAAAGAACCACAAGTAATAGGCCAACTAGGATTAATTTTAAACCATTACACTTCATTCTACCTGGTAGATTCTTCTATGTCATGAAACACATCTTCAATGGGACTGCCAATAATGGATCTGAAGCCTGAAGTAACAAAACCAAACTACCCCACCCCAGACTGTGTGTGGTCTGTGGAATGAACCCTGAGGCCAGACAGAGGACTTTGCTCCATCTCTGGAGATGCAGAGATCTGTGGCCTGATAGAACAGCAGCAGGTTGTCCTTCTTATCCTCTCTGGTAGCAGCTGTACAGAACATGACACAGATTTCAATTCTTACTCAGTTTTTTTTCTGTTGATGAAGGAAGTAGGAAGTAAGAGAAATAGACTTTGTTTCATACTTGGAGCAAATGTGGATGTGAATTTCAGTGTTCAGGATTTCAACATGCACAGAGTTTCCTTAAGTAAATCCAAGGTAAAGTTGGCTACAGAAACCCAGATCTGACACTACTGAGAGGTGCTGGCAGTTCTCTTTGTAGGATGCATTTCATCAAACCTTTCTCAGACTGTACATTTGACACCAGGACTTGCTCCATTCAGTCTCCGCTCACCTGTTCTAGATGAAACGTTTTTAATTGGTTGGGTATCTTAACAGTACTTCCACTTTAACATTTTCTCACTATGCTCAAATGTGTTTGTCAGCTTCCTAATGAGAGTAATGTTCATAACAAAGTACACAAGACTTTTGAGCAAAAAAATAAGAGACCTTGAACCACAGTGGCACGAACATCTCTGATGTAGTAACAGTGTAAGAGGGCATGGGCCTGAAAAACACATTAATATTGATACTAACAAGCTTAGGAGAGACAGAGCAGTGTGAGGCATTCCTGAAGAAGGTGAATTGACAGTGCAAAGGAGAGTTAATGCCAAACAGATGTACTTGCTCAGTTGCTTCATTAGTGCCTCTGTTTTCAAGATTTGAAACATCCAGATTTGTTGCCTCTCATTGCTGTTATTGAACACTACTTGCAATTCCCAGGCTGGTGCACTACACACCAGTTATAACCAGGGCCCGAGTAACACAGCTTGTTATGGAAACACCAAAGACCTGCACGTCAGCCTTCCCCTCCCTCTGCAAGCTCCCCAGACACACCCCCACTTGCACTTGTAACAAAACTCAGAGCCAGAGCCTCAGTTTAACCACTGGGAGCTGCAATAATTTTCTCAGAGGAGAATCCAGGCCTGGGTGTAGAGCAAGAAGCCCTAGGGGCCAAGCTTCTCCCAGACTCCAGGCACAAGCTGGTCAGGTTGTGAAGCTAAAGAGAGAAAGTCCCAACAGCTAATGGCACCTGTCCTTGTGAAAGAGGCTGAGGAAAACTGAGGCTGTGCAGGAGAAAGGGCAGGTCTGCCCCTGGGAGTAGGGGAGGAGGAAAGCAGTGGGTCTGTGTGTTTGGGGAGAAGGGAGCAGGGAGAGAGCTGTCCTCCTTCCAGAAGCAGCACCTTGTCATGTTGGCTCAGCTGCCATGAAAACACCTTCTGAGAGAGCCTGCTCTGATTTTGGCTGGCACGGGACCGACAGCACAGCCAGGATGTCATCGAGAGCTGTGCAGTTCCTCGGCAGCCGCACGCAGGGAGCCAAACGTTGCTGCTCTGGAGGCAGAGACAGAACTGGAGCAGCCTCTGAGCACTGATTTCCTGTAAAGGGGCAGCTGCAGCATCACGGGGCTCCTGTCCTGTGCCCTTCTCACACTGGGGTTATGTTGGGCTGTGGGAAATGTTGTGTTTGCGTTTTGAAACATGTCTTAGAAATAGGGGGTTTAATATTTTGCAATAAAAAGTTTATTCAAGAAAAGATTAGTCTTGTTTTTCCCTGGCCTATCGAGGCTATTCTGAGCTGATGTGGGATTTCCCCTCTTGAGGGCAGCGCTGTTCCCTGTGATGAGAAACGGGAATCTGAGGTGTTATGGAATGAAGGGGTGGAGAGAGCACGGCAGGGATCGAAGCTGGGAGAGAGAATTAAGGGGGGAGGTTTGCTTTCCCTGTCCCCTTTCCTGTCTTTTCTCTCTCTTCCTTTTCCCTTCCCTTCTCTTTTTCCCTCCGAAGCACTGGGACTTTGCCGGGACGCTCTGCTTTCCGCGGTATTACCGCGACAGCCGGCCGGGGGCACAGCTCGGCTGCCCTCCAAAGGCCCCAGAGCCCAACCCAGCGCTCCCAGGCCGGGATGGGGCGGCTGTCCCGGGCAGGCCGAGCCGCTCAGCGCCAGGGGCGGGCCCGCGGGCGAGCCCGGCCCCGGAAGGACCGTCCTGTTCCGGGCCGCGCGGCGTCATGGACTCGCTGTGGCGGCTGAAGCGCTTCGACGCCTTCCCCAAGACCCTGGAAGACTTTCGGGTCAAGACGTGCGGGGGAGCGCTGGGTGAGCGAGGGGCTGCGGGCGGCCGGGGGGCCCTGGCGGGCCGGCGGCGGGCGGGCGGCGGCGCTGACGGCGGTTCTCCTCTCCCCGGCAGTGACGGCTGTCAGCGGGCTCATCATGGTGCTGCTTTTCTTCTCGGAGCTGCAGTACTACCTCACCAAGGAGGTGAGTCCTGGCGGCCCAGGGGCGGCTTTGCCGGCGCAGCCCCGCGGTTCGCGGCGTTCCCCCGGGGGTCGGACTGGCTTCCCCGGCGGGGGGAGCGCTGGACACGGCTGCGAGCAGCCCCCCGTGCCCGGAGGGAAGGGGGAGCAAGCGCCCCCTCCCCACGGTCAGACATCTCCCAGTTATTCTCTTTTTTAACGCCACTGCAAGTGGCAACGCTGAGCTACCGTGTGGGTGGCAGCAGCTCAGGTGTCTGGCAAATACCTTGTCTTTAACATCAGCTGCTGGGCCAGAGCACTCGAGGGAAAGGGACCTTTTGATTTGCTTCCAAGTGAAACGGGACTCTCTGTTTTTTTCTTTGTTCCCAGGTTCATCCGGAGTTGTATGTTGACAAATCAAGGGGAGATAAACTGAAGATCAATCTAGATGTTATTTTTCCACATATGCCTTGTGCTTGTGAGTCAGACTTGTGAAAACTGAGGATGATTTTCATCCTTGGCAAGGGCTTAAGAGGCTAGATGAGCCCATAACAAACGTGTGTTTACAGACCACTTTCCTCTCTCGTTTGTTTCAGATCTGAGCATCGATGCCATGGACGTAGCAGGAGAGCAGCAGCTGGATGTAGAGCACAATCTGTTTAAACAGCGTTTGGATAAAGCTGGCAATCGTGTGACACCAGAGGCGGAGAGACATGGTAAGATGCTGTTCTGCCTGTCCTGGATGGATGCTCTGGTAGTCTTCCCACTGTATACCTGTTTTGAGATTCACAGGAACAAGTGACAGCTGTAGAGTTTTTAAATGCCACAAAGTCTTGAAGAGTTTGTAGCACACAGATCTATTAAACTACTTTTATACTCCCTACTTTTGCAAGGAAATCTTTGCTTGGTCCCTCTGAAATTATGACGAGGACCCATAGATGCATTTGAGGAATAAAGTGCTCAGTTAGTGGTCTTTTGTGACTAAAAATCAAGCAACTGTTCTGACAATATTTGGCTTTGTTTGTATCTTTAAATCACGTAGATGGACAGGTGGCATGATGTGGTTCGAGGAAAGAGCCTCTCTCTAGGGAAGGCTCCAGTGACTTGACCCTTAAGCCTAAACTTGCACGTTATTAGCTTTATGTGTGTTAATGGATACCTGATAAATATATTTGAGTTGATTTATTGGTTACAAGCTGTCATAAGTGATCCTTGGCTTCGTAAACCTGTCCTCTACGTTTTTTACATGTTATGACTCATTGTTGTACTTCGATACGAACTAGAAATGATTCTAGCAAAGCATTGCAACCTCACAGTAATACTGTTCTGACTTTTCCTTTCCAAAACATGAGCTCCTTATTCCCTTTTCTGGGAGTCAGTGTGGTTCTACATATCGGCATGACCAAATGTGTAGCTTTGTATCACTCAGTTTTAACATTTCTGTCGTTGATATTGAAAAGCTAAACTAAGCCAAGAGCTGAACAGTTGGCAGTCTCCAGTCTCCAGTTGTCATGGGAATGTGGTGATAGTTCTCTTACTGCTGCATCGCTTAGCAGCCCTCATGGGTTGTGATATTGCAAGTGTAAAGCCTGGGGACAAAAACTGTTCAGTGTGTTGTGAAGCAGGTCCTGCATCAGTCATAATGTACTGATTGGGTCTACTTTAGACAATATTTTAGGAAAATCTTTATGCAAGTAATGTCTGATTGATGCTCCAGCAAGGCTCACAGATAGCCAGTTCTTTCCATGGAGGCTGTTCTTGAGATGACAAATGCTACACTCCTTGTCTTACTTCACGCCTCAGCAGGCTCCATACATGCCATTTCAGGTGGGCTTTGGGTGCAGGATGTGCAGCTGCACATCGTGTGTGGAACAGTCATTGTGTACAGAGCAGAACAAGAGTACAAGACAGAGTTTCTAGACACGCCTCATCACTTTGAATCCTCTTCTCTCTTAGAGCTGGGGAAAGAAGAAGAAAAAGTGTTTGATCCAAATTCTTTGGATGCTGATCGCTGCGAGAGCTGTTACGGGGCAGAGTCGGAGGACATTCGGTAACCTTTACACCTTTTTCCTATCTTCTTAGCACTTGAATTCATACAGGTATGTTGCATGTGTATTTTTTTTCCAAATGTCTGTGCAGGTCTGTGCAGTGAAATCCTCCTCCTAGGCATGTGTTCAGAGAGTGATGAGAACTGTTGTGGTTTGGCTATTCCTTTGAAAGCTGCACTCATGATAGTTAAGAAGGTGCAGTTAGGTTGTCTAGATTGTCTACGTGCCTGTTTAAGCAGCTTGTGCAAGAGATTGTATCTCGGCAGATGAGATATTTTCTGTGTTTATTTGGTGTCCAGAGGGGAGGTGTGTAAATGATTTCACTGTTACATGAGCTGTCTTAACATAAAACCTGGTTATGGCCTTGCCTTCTCACCTTTGCTGCTGGCATTGCATCCTTACAGGAGCAAGGGTCAGATATCTATCACGTGCACAAACAATAAGTGTCTTTTGGTGTTTCTCATTCCTCCTACCTGCAAATTCTTGTAAGAATGGATCCGTGATAGTCCATATGTTCTGGACTAACTTTGGCTATTTTTGGCTTGTTAGTAACTTGGTTTGTCTCGTCTGTCAAGTTGTGTTCTTCCCCAAAGATGTTTCCATGTTGAGGGATTCAGAATTCCTGCCTTCAACTTATCTTTGGTTGAGCAAAATATAGAACCAAGGAAGAAACCTGGTTTTTTTCTGGTAACCAAGTTGTTATCCAGAGGTAGAAAAGTGCAAAGAAAGTTTGCTATTAAGCTTCCCTTTTAGCCCAATATCTTGACCTAAAAACAGAGGAAAGGAGGAATAGAAACAGGGAGATGCTTTGTTCACATGAGGAAGCTCCAAACTGCTCATAGCTGTTGGACACTGATGTTGTTTGTGTGACCAAGGGCTGCCTTGGCTGTGTAAATGGGCAGGCAGAGCCCTTTTCAGACTCCAGTCCTGCATTCAAAGAGCTTGAACCCTCACCTCAAAATCTCAAAAGGCACATCAAAAGCTCGAGCTCCTTCAGGAGCATTGAGTGACCTTTCAGTGTCCAGTCCCAGCGTTTGCTTTATTGCTTTGTTGAAGAAGGATCCGTCAAGGATTCAAGTCCTGAGCTGGAGCATCTCTTGTTAGCAATAAAGATGGTAAGATGGTGCTTGTGCTTTTTGCAGGTGTTGTAATACTTGTGATGATGTCAGAGAAGCATACAGGCGGCGAGGCTGGGCCTTCAAGAACCCGGATAGCATAGAGCAGTGCAAGAGGGAAGGGTTTAGCCAGAAAATGCAAGAGCAGAAGAATGAGGGCTGCCAAGTGTATGGTTTCCTAGAGGTCAACAAGGTGAGAGAGAGCTTTTGCTGTGAACCTGCTGCATGATGGTGAAGACTATGAAAAGGCAGAGTTGGGGCATTCCTCTCCTGTTCCAGGTTTAAGTCTGTCAGAGAATAACCTCTGGGATCAGCAAGGTCCCTGTACCTGTCATGGGATTCAGGAGGAGAGTCAGGAAAAGCGGTGGGAACCTAATTCTGTTTGCGTTCCGTGGGCTGGTAGGAAACATGGCAGCTGGAGAGGTTTATCTTCTTCTCCCACCTGGGTACTGAGTCTTTTTGCTAAGATTTCTGGAGGAGGAGAGGCAGCTTCTTTGAGCTTGAATTGTCCCACCTGCCTTTCTAGTCTTAAATCAGATGTTAGAGATAGCAGGAACAAACAACTTGCACACAGAGGTCCTGGAGAGTGAAGTGTTATCTTCTTTAGAAAAAGAGTGGAAGCAAAGCTATTGGAGTTGGTTGTCAAAGCTGAAAATGCTGAGAGGTGGTTTTTGCAAGTGATCTCTGAAAATGTACAAGATGCACCAGGTAACCACCCTGCCATGGCAGGTTACCCAAACCAGAACACAGAGGTTACATACCCAAGTGCCTTCTGGAAGTCAAACCTAGGCTATTTTTTTGTTCATTGTATTTCAAACTCCTTTTTTTGTGTGTATATGATTGCTAGTAACTGTCAGGGAGCATTGGCACCTAATATCCACATCCCTTTTAAAGTCCAGGATTAAATTTTAACAGTTTATCTTTTGGAGGTTTTTGTTTGGTTTTTTTGTTTGGGATTTATTTTTTTTTATGGTAGGTTTAGTGCTTTATTTTTGCATGCAGCTTATTTTCACGGGTGTGTACATTGGATCACTTTAGATTATTATGTTAAGTGTTTTCTTACCCTGCTCACTCTCAGTTACTTTTTCCACTCCTTTTCTTTCATACTGCTTTATGTTTCCTGCTGCACCAGTCCATTCCCTCCTACTGGGAGTTAACTCCTCCTTCTCCCCATTTTTACATCCACTGAATAATCTGCATAGAGCAGCTGTTATCCACATCAGTATGTAACTATGACTTTCAGTGTCACTGCCTGTGAGGAACAGGGGAAATTCATACCTCTCTTGTAATAATGTCTGCTGACACTGTCACCTGTGAAAATGAGTTGTTTGGTGTCTTAAAAATCCAAACACCAGTACAATGACTTTACTTACATAGACTTGGACGATTTAATGAAAGGTTACTCTCTCCTGCAGGTAGCTGGAAATTTCCACTTTGCACCAGGAAAAAGTTTCCAGCAGTCTCATGTGCATGGTAAAGTATTTTCTTTTCCTGCTTATTGTGACCTTTTACTTTCAAGGGTGTCTGACTGTTTTCTTCTAATATCTTTGCATTGCTATAGGTAATAACAACACCACTGCTACAGTGGGGAGGATGTTGAAGTTTTGTTACAGAGGTTTAGAACAGAAAAGTGATTTCTAGAGATGCTACCACATGGGCATGGAAGAACTTGGGAGGGAATGTTTCTGGGCAGTCTCTCAGTTCTACAAAACTTTGCTTCTCTCAGTAAAACAACCTCAAGTGAGGTGTTCAGTCCAGGACCTGAGTACCAGTACCTCTGGAAGGGGTATTTTCTGCCATTTAGGACTCTCAGAGTAAAATTTAAGTTGTGAAGGACTTCCTCAGAGATATATATATGTAAATACATGGTGGCCGGAACAATAGTGGTTGTTTATAGAATCATGGAATGGTTTGAGTTGGAAGGGAGCTTTAAAGGCCAACTAGTCCAACCCCCCTGTAAGGGACAGGGACACCTTCCACTAGACCAGGTTGCTCAGAGCCCCATCCAGCCTGGCCTTGAATCCCTTCCAGGAACTGGGCATCCACCACGTCTCTGGGCAACCCGTGCCAGGGCCTCACCACCTTTGGCACATACAGTTACATCCTTATATCTAGTCTGAATCTACACTCTTTTAGTTTAAAACCATTGCCCCTTGTCCTATCACAACAGGCCCTGATAAAAAGTCTGTCTCCATCTTTCTTGTAGGGCCCCTTTAGGCACTGGAAGGGGCTCTCAGGTCTCCCTGGAGCTCCTCTTCTCCAGGTGAACACCCCCAGCTCTCCCAACCTGGCTCCAGAGCAGAGGGGCTCCAGCCTCAGAGCATCTCCGTGGTCTCCTCTGGACTCTCTCCAGCAGGTCCACATTTTTCCTGTACTGGGGACCCCACAGCTGGAGGCGGCACTGCAGGTGAGGTCTCACCTGAGTGGAATAGAGCAGGAGAATCTACCCCCTCCCCTGCTGCCCACACTACTGGGGATGAGCCCAGGGTGCAGGTGTTCTCTGGACTGCACATGGCTGGGCTGTGTTGAGCTTCTTGTCCACCAACACCCTCAACTCTATCTCCCCATGGCTGGTTTTGACTTGTTCATCCACCAGCCTGTATTGACAGCAGGGATTGCCCCAACCCAGGTGCAGCACCAGCACTTGGTCATGTTAAACCTCATGAGGCCCCACTTCTCGAGTTTGTACAGGTCCCTCTGAATAGCATCTCATCCCTCAAACATGTCAGCCTCACTCATCAGCTTGGTACCATCTGCAGCCTGGCTGAGGGTGCACTCAATCCCACTGTCAGTGCCATTGATGAGGACATTAAACATTACTGGTCCCAGCATGGATCCCTGAGGTACACGACTTGCCACTGATCTTCATCTGGACATTGAGCCATGGACCACTAACTACCCTTTGGATGTGACCATCCACTGAACCCATCAGATCCATCTTTTCCCTTGATCAGGGTTTTGAAGCTTGAAATTTCACAAAGGTTTCACAAAGAGCTGTAATGTGTCAGCCTGAGTTTCTTCCCTTCTGTCACTCACTGCAGTTTAACCTGTACCACTGAAGTGAAGGTTTGGGGAGAATGCAATGTACTTGGTGAGAGTAACTGGTGTATTTGGAGAAGAACAAACAAACTTCTGAGCACAGTTTCTACAGGTGAAGAAGCAATTTTGTGCAAACAACAACAGTGAAGAAAGCCTGGTTTTCCTCACGATATTGCTTGTTCTTAAAAAATATTTCATTTATTGTGGCAAAATTTGGTTTGTGTGCTTAAACTAGCATGGCAACAGCAACCTTACTACAGCCAGGATTGACACTGTCACAGCATGTATCCAAGTTAAGGAGAAGCATCTCTGCATTGCATCTGCTCTCTGTGACAGGCAGGAATGCAGACTGGCTGCCTGAGAGCAAGTACTTGGTGTACAAAGAGGAGGAGATGAGGTCAGGAAAGCTCTCTAATTCCATGTCTCCCAGAAGCCTTGAACAGATGATTTGAAAATTCAGTGGGAAAATACAGGTAAAATCCAAAAGGGCTGTATAGTTACTGCCAACCTGCAAAACACATCCACTCATTTCCTTGCTCCCACTGGCCTCTTCCTCTATGGGAAAAGTGTGGTCACTGCATGCTCTCTCCTTACCTCTCAGGGTGTCCTAGACCTTTCCTGTGCCAGGCCCAGGAAAGTCACAGCTTATGCAGATGGTCCTTAGTGGAAGCCATTCAACCTCTGAGCTTCCTTGCAGGATTTCTCAACCACTTTCAGTTCAGCTCTGTCTGCAGGTGCCAGACTGCACCCAGAATTAAGGTCCAGGCTAAGTATGATGTAGGCAGTGGCCTAATGACTTTCTTCTTTCGTTCTCTCTTGCTTTCCTAGTTACTTGTAACATGTGATTTCACTTTTACACAACCTTTTCCTTGGCAGTGTTTTCATGGTACTAACCAAAAAACAAGGAATTTTCCCTGAAAATGTAAGGGAAATGGGCAGCTAAGAGCTTGGTCATTGTGTTGTACATACTTCAGTATAACCTTTCTTCACAATCCTTTGGGGGTTTCCCCCTTTAATTACAGATAAAGAATTTGACTAATATTAGAGGACAGAGATGTGTGAGATATTTCCGGAACTCACATGGAAAGATCTCATTTGGATTGTTGTTCCACACAAAAACTTAGATGTATGTGATGTTTCATCCCTTCAGTAAGGTCTCCATTAATGCTCAGTCCTGTTAATACACTTGACAGAATGTCACACAGGGTGAAGTTGAATGTCTAAGGAGAGGTCTGAGTATTCCAAACTGTTACTGTCAAAAGTCACATTAGCAATACACTAAAAATAATAATTTTACTGGACCTGTTTGGTGCAGAACTGTAATGACTGGCAATAGTTTTACTCCTTCCTTCTATTCCCCAGTGATGTGAATCAGTAGATAAGATGGGGGTGAAGGAAACTGGAAAGTTCAGTCCATTGCACTGCTCTCCTTGCCTCCCACTGGAGTATCTGTACCACGTTTGTACAGCTGGTGGTTGGACCTGAGTCCACAGTTTTATTTTCTGGTGCTTTTCAAACACTGAAGCTTGCACACGAGCTTTTCAGTTTCTTACACTGTTCCTGTCCCCTTCTCCTGAAGGTTCCTGTTGTTTCATAGATCTGCAGCCAGAGAACGGGCAGAGACACCGCTGTGACAGTGCCAAGGCTCCTATTCAGCAGCACTTTGTAGGTCTGACTCCAAATGTAACCCTGATCTGAGGTTCTGACCTCGTGTGCTTGGTGTTAACATCTTCAAACTTCTCTCCTGGGGCAAAGCAAGTTTAAATGGCTTTTTTTTATTTCAGAGAGTAGAATAAGAAGTAAGAGAAGACACAGGGCTGACACACATGCAAACCAGAACCAGCACTGTATAAGGTGCAATTTTATTTCTGTTCAGTTATTTATCTTCAGTTATGTGTAGCACAATCTTTATACCTTTTTATTTGCATAAGGAGGTGCTGTATTCTCAACTCTCCATTGGAGGCTGAACACTTTACTACTAGAGGTATTTCTGCAATATAGGCTTTGTTCATATTTTCTTTTTTTTTTTTTCACTGCTACTAGATGTTTTAGTGTGTATTACTACTAATTCCTAATCTCAGGTCATCAGAATTGTCCTCTCTAGGATGATTCACACAGCTGATCTTATGCCTTTGTGCTGTCTATAATGGTTAATTAACTTATAGCTAGTGCATAAATATAATGCTTGCACTTCTTGGACAGATACTCCATCTCTGTGCTTCACATGCTGTGTTCCCAGAGCATCCGAGCTGAAGCTTTGGAAATGTGTTGCTTTTGAAGCAAGCAGTGAGGCTGATTTTCATCCCAAGTGAGTGGAAGCATTGCAGACTGGTTGCTTTAGGCCTGCACTGTGATGCCACATCACCAATGTCAGAGAAGACCCCCAGCTGCTGAATGTCATACTGGCTGCAAATGGTCTTGTCTTGTTCCTCAGCTCATCGGTGGTCCAGTTGCACTGAGAATCCCAGGTCATTAGGAGGAGGGTTGAAAGAGATTGTGAGGAGGACTGGAGCACTTCCAATCAGATTTTTTGGCACTGAAACTAGTAGTTCTGGCTCTCCTGCACTCTCCTGCTTATTCATTTGGTTCTAGCTGAGGTTGGAGTTGCTTCACTGTTGTCTGTTTAGGCTTTGAATCCTAACCTGAGATTTTAGGTTAGGATTGAGAGAGATGAGGTTTGGTTCATGCATCTGCTACATGTTTTGGTGAAGTTCTGTCTTTCAATTGTGCCTCTGTAAGGACAGTCTCCAGCACCAACTGTGCCTCTTTGTGACTGGATATCAGAGCTGTTTTCTTTGCAGCAGCTCCTACCTTCTCTCTTCTCCTCCTGTCTCAGAGGAAAGAGGAGTGACTGGGAGCTGTCGAAGCTCTGAGGTGTGTGGTCCAGGCCCTGCTGCTGTGTCTGTCCATGCCTGTCTCCTTCATCTGCAGTGCTGGGCAGTGAGTTTCCTGCATACAGAAGAGTCCTTACTGGTGGGTTCCTCAGGAGACAGATGATATTCATATCACTTCCTTCCTCATTGCCCTATTTCTTCTGGTCAAGGGGAAGCTGAGGTCTCTCAGTTCTTCCTTGAGGTTATCTTTGGACCATTCTGTTGCTGAGGTTCTAAAAAACAATGTTCTTTAGAAAAGACATTGGCCATCATGCTTTTTTGACAGCGTTTCAGGATTACTTAAAATGTCTTGTGAGATTCCTTCAAATCTTTGTTTTCCTCCTCATTTGTGGTGATGATTGTGGAAGGAAAAATGCAGGTAAACTGGTCTTTGAGATGATGATGGTCTTGGAAAAGGACCTGCCTATTTGGAGCCACCAAGCTTTGCTTTAGAAAGGTGTGGAGCTTTGTTAGCTCTCTAAGAGCACAAAGCCACTGGTCAGTTGTACATCTTCATTGGTGTTCTGCTTATGTAGGGAGGGTTTATTTCCTTCTCTGCTAGGGATTGACAACCAGAACCTATTTGAAGGCATCCTTGGGTGAGCCCTAATAGCCTCTCTTATTTTGCATAATTTTAAATGTTTCGGTTGCTGAATTGCAAAAGGATACCAAGTCTTTGACTGCAGACTGGTTGTCGTTTTTTAAGTCCCTTTGTATCTTCTCAATGTCAACCAAGAGCAAGTGACACTAACTTTTTTTTCTGCAGAGACTGCAGCCTCCTTCCCTGTTGGTTTCCTGTAGCCCTACTAGTTGTGGGCCTGTTACTATTGCACAGGCCTCTACAGATACCAGTTCCTTATCTGAGCTTGTCTGCCCATCAACATTCTTGAAAAAAAATTATGTGGGACTCAATCTCCATCAGTTAAGGACACCAGTTCAGTGTGGAGGAAATCTAAATCCTCTGTTGATCACCTGTGCAGTATCCCTTCCATAGAAGGAGCATGTGTGAGCTCATTCTAACTTCTGTCCCAAAGTAGTGTCTGCTGGGGAACATTGAATACAGGAGGCTGAGAGTCTTGCTTCATTCTCAGCATTGCTAAGGACCTTTTATGCTGGTGAACTCTTTTCAGAGTTTGGTTGTCTTGGTGCTGAAGGACATGTGGTCTCACGGGTTTCTGGTGGACAGACTGTTGTCAAGTTTATATGAAGTCTGTTTTGGAGACCACAAATGTGACATTTTCATTTGTCACTGCACTGTCATCCGTCAGAGCTGAACTTGTTGGGAATGCCTGACATTTGTCAAGCAACCCTCTGGAGCAGCCATACCTTCTCCACACCAAACCCTTGCTATTGTAGAAGCATCACCAGAGATCTAACATGTGACAAAGGGGATCAGAATTGCTCTGTGAAGGATTTGGAGGCCCATAAGTCTATAAGACCCTGTAAGTCTATGACAGTTACTGATTAGTGTTGAACATATGTATTGCACAGCGTTGAATGTACATGAACAGGCTTTTGAAATTAGCAAAAAAGGAGTTTACTTGACCTGCTTTGAGATGTAATGTCCAAACATACATTTCCCCTGCCCCCCACCCTCCCTGGTATTCACCTTTGTTGGGATCATGCAACAGAATGAACAAAACCAGCCTCATGGTTTGTTACCTTCTCTGTGCATCAGCTGGGATGAAAGTAGCACAGGACTGATTAAGAATAAAACCTTGTTACCCAGCTTTGAGTGTTAATATGTTGTGAATGTAAACCTTGAGTGCATTTCTGGATAGCTTTGTTTGCTCCTAAAATGACCTTTATGTTACCTTATGACTGAAAAAGAATCTAAATATAACCAACATTGTTGTCTGGCATGCTACTTTAGAGCTCACTTAACATATATGCACATCCTACAGTGTTTTTCCTTTTGGTGATTAATTCCTGCAATTTGGGTTCTCTGTTACTCTTTAAATGCTTGCTTGACCATATAGAGTCCTTTAGCTAGCTAGGGAGTCATTTTATATGGCCTAGAAAGTACACTAGCAAAGATGTTACTCTTCTCCTTTTTGGTATGAGTTTGAAATGCTACTCTACCTGAATCTCTGTATCTTTTGTTACAAGGACCTGAACTTTTCTCTTTTCTCTCCTACTCTGCTTGTTTTTGCAGTGCACGCTGTTGAGAGTAAGTGTTGCTGTATCCTTTTTTTCCTCCAAAAAACTTTACTACAGAGCTAACATTTCTGTTATTTCCTGTGCCCAAAAATCTTTGGGAGAAGCTGTTGATCTAGGCTGGGATTTGAGAAGATTTCCTGGAAGCTAAAAGGAGAGCCATCCCAGTTCATTCTTCTGTGGTAAATGAGATGGAAAAGGTTGAGAATCCTTGCCTTAAATTGTTTTAATACCTCAGTGTTGGAGTTAAAGTGTTGGCAAATGTTTAGCTGCACTGTGCAGCTTAGGTGTTGGAGACCCTGACACGTTGGAGAGACTTCTGCCTTTTCAAGTCAGATGAGAGAATTGTCTCGTTTAATCTCATTTGTACAACAGGCTAGAGAATTTCTGCTGAGAATTCCTGCACTGAGTCTGCTAATCTCTGGATAGTCCATGGGAAGTTTTCCCAGGGTTTGTAAGCCATTGGATTTTTCTAAGGGTAATCAAGGTGGCTGCAGGTTGAGATGTGGTGTTTTTAGTCAGCAACATCTGGCAGAGGGCTCAGACTCTCAGCTTTGCTCACTCCTTCCCTGAGCTGCAACGTTTACTGTGTTGTTCCCTGCCTCAGTCCCCTCTTCACGATGCATCCTTTTGTGACTCACAATATTCCTGTCACTGTGCTCCTGTGAGATACTTTCCTCCATGAAATTCATCCCTGGTTTGAAAATTGGTGTCCTAGCTCACCTTGGAGCAATATGTTTGTGTGACTGTCTTTGGTTCCTTGGAGTCTTCACATGTCTGTTGGCAGAGTCCTGAATGGCCATAAGTGCTGTTAATCCCCTTTCAGGGGTTCAGGACTGAATTTCACAGTCTAAGGAGGCCTTGTGGTTGTTCAGGTCAGAAGTGCAAGATGGGGAGAATTCTTCAGATAGCAGTTGTTAAAACTGTGTTACTAAAACAGTGCAGAAATCTTGGTTCTATAAAAACAGAGTTCTTGGCAAACCTAGGATGTTTTACAGGTCTCTTTATTTTGCCTAACTGGGCTAATAGCTGTGGTTAGGGAAATGAAGAATTGTGTTTGTTTCTTCAGAAATAACAGTCTCTGGTCCTTGGTGACCATCTCTTAAAGATCTTCTGTTTCCTCCTCCTGTTTCTTCTCTAAGCAGGCTAAATATCCTGTTAGTTTATGTTAAATGAACTGTGGTTAGCTAAACATTTATCTGCAACCTAGAGTGTGTACACCTGTGCTTAGCGTAATCCTCAGTGATCAAAGATAAATAAACTTGTGATCTGGTGGAAGACTGTTTTAGAAACTCAACATATACATCGCTTTATTGCAGAGTTATAAATCACTTGTTGCAGAGGAGTTTTTAAAAAACTACTTAATTGGTGGTTTGCCTGTGGAAGCACTATGGGGACAGGTTTTTTTGGACAGCCATAACTGTTAATATGGGTCACACAAAGTGTAAATCTAGTGTAGCAGGTTAGTTGAGTTTGGTCCTTCGGAAGTGCTGCCCTGGAATTTCTCTGGTACTGTGCTATTCCTGTAAATTTTGCCATCCAGACTAGTCCTCAGCTCCACTTCACGTGCCAAGGCATGTGACTCCCCAGGCAGTGAAGCTGATAAACACCATGATCCTGCAGATCCCAGGCAGCTTTCTTGCCATTTTAGATCGTGATGGAAATGAGAGGTATACAGCTGTAATGTAGTTGACAGATATGCTTGTTATGACAATTTGAACTATATTGTTAAACTATTTTTCTGTTGCAGTTCACGATCTGCAGAGCTTTGGACTCGATAATGTAAGTGGTCCCAAGGTAGTGTTCTAGTTCTCTTAGTCTGTTTGCCTTCTGGATTTCCCTGCTATTGCCACACTGACATCTTGGTGTAGTGGCAGATTTGCCTTTATGGATCTGAGCAGAACCTGGGACCTGCTATCACAGAGGGCTCTGAAATATGTTCTGGAACATCTGCATGCTGCTTGGCAAGCCTGTTCCCCTCTTCTTGAGCCTGCCTTGCTCCTTAATCTATGCTTCCCAGTTTTCTAAGGCTGCCATTTTCACAAGTGCTTCTGGATCTGTTGGAGTTTACCTTGTGCTGGGAGGAAAGCAGATTGTGCTCATACCTGTGCCACCGAGGCAGCTGACAGCATGGTGCTCCTGTGGCAGGGACAGGAGTGGGTGGGAGAGCCTACTCTGTGCATGGGAGGGAAGGGCACTGGGATCTGGGGACTACCATCAGAATAAGGAGAAATCCCACATCTTGAAATCTCCTGTGAATAAAAAAGACCAAGTGTTTTACTGTCAGGATGCACAGAGGAGGACCTGTCTCTGTTCTAGAGCCACGCTCAGAAAAATACATAAACCATGACCTTTAGTCCCCTTACCTTGCCCCCCGTGTGCTGTGCAGTTGTTTGAGTTGTGAGCATTTCTGTTTCAGATCAATATGACCCACTATATCAAACACCTCTCGTTTGGAAGGGATTATCCAGGCATTGTGAACCCTCTGGATGGGACAGCCGTCACTGCACAGCAAGGTAAAAGCCAGCTGAGAGAAATCCCTCTTTAAGTGTCTGTATTAATAAGTGTCAGAAGACAACAGGAGAAAAGTTCCCAATTTAAGAACCCTGAGAGTGTTTTGTGGACTCCTCCTCCTTGTGCTCTTTCTGGAGCAGCTGTCTCCATTCATGTGGAACAAATCTGCCAACATGTTTTGATTCTGTGACCTTTCTGAAAGATCTCTCTGTTCAGTGTTCATGGATGCACAGAAGGGACAGCACATCATTATTAAAGGCTTACCTCAGGTATAGTTCAAGGAGAGCCCTGTCTGACTACTACGTGCAGTAAGAGAGAACCAGAAGATTCAGGGCAGAGAAAATAGGCCTGATTAGTAGTTGCTGGAGAGCTGTGGTGTCTGCCTGACCTTGGCATACTCAACAGTAAGAGCTGAAAGAGCTGCAGTGAAGTTGAAATATTGCTGATCTTTTCTAGATAGCTCCAGATTTGCTGGCTTGACAATGAAAGGGAATTCTCTTCTCATGCTGCTGCTGTGTATGAGTTTATTTCCACAAACCTGCTTGTGTGCATTTTCTATGAAAGATCCTCACCTCACTTTACATGCCACTGTGGAGTTATTTTTTTTAGATCCACTGAAGTCTGCAGAGTTTGTTTTTTCAGGCACTTGGTGCTGTGTGTAATAAAGCTTGGAGAAAAAAGCTTTTAAGTGATGGTGGGATTGTTAGTTCTACTTGAATCCTTTAAATTCTTCCTTTAATTCTTTTAAATTTTCCACCATGAATTTTGATTCTTGTACCTCTCAGAATCCACTAAGGAGTGTGTAACAACTCACCTGCCGAATCAACTAGACCTGAAAATTGGATTTTGGATTTCTAATGTGGCTCAAACTGCCACACCAAATCAGAGGATGGTGCCTAAAAGAAAGTACAGAAAAATTACAAGTGTCATACTCAGTACGATCACGATGCTGTAGTTAGTGTGTGGAGTACCAAATTCCCTGAGAGGGGGCCTGTAGCTGGCTGGTAGAACTCTGTCTGTAAGCTCAAGCTTTTCATCCTGAGCCTTAGAGAACCAGTTGGCAAATTCTTGAAGAATTAGAACTGAAGACATGCTCCAGTAAAGAAGAGAAGTAGATAACAGGTCAAATTTATGTGTATTGCAGCTAAAGATATTATATGTGAGAATTACTTCTGTTACAGAAATGGATGAATAATCTTCCCCTCCAGGGAATTTCATAGAAAATAGGTTTTCAAAGAAACTCCTGCATTCCATTATCCTTAAGAGAACTTAAGGAACAACCTGGTCTGAGGCAACAGACCTGAGAAAGGGTAGTCCTATTTTTTTCTTCTCTGATCCAGATCTTCCTTTTCATCTCCTGAGACAATGAATCCCAAGCTTCTTCAGGAGTAAACTCCAATGTTAATTGGAGTTGATATAGGATACTCATTTAGGGCTATGTTTTCTTAAGGCTATGTTGTTAAAAACAAGACTTTTCATATGCTAGAATAAGAATTTTCAAGAAGTTTTACTAGTAAAACTGCAGCAAGATAATTGGTTTGTAGAAGGTTTTCCATTTAGTCAAAACCAAAATGCTGGTAGTTTGGGGTTTGGTTGGAAGAGGAACAAGATTCACTTTGGCAAAAGGAAAACTCATGTCAGACAGTTCTGTCCTGGAAATCCTCCTGCAGCTGTTGTGCAGAAAGATGTTCCCTGACAAGTTGAACCAAACCAGTTGGTGTCTACCTGACCTGTCAGGGAAGTTTTCCAGGTCACTGTGGGTATTAATTGTGTCTCTCTCTGTCTTTGCTTATAGCTTCCATGATGTTTCAGTATTTTGTCAAAGTGGTCCCCACTGTGTATAGGAAAGTAGATGGTGAAGTAAGTACCTTTTTTCCTGTTGCTTTGGCAAGTGAAAGCCTTCACTTTCTCCTCATATTCTTGATGCTGCCTGTAACTGGATCCAGGTGTGTTGCCAGGTGGATACCAGGGACTGTGTTGTACATTCAGTACTTGGGACTCTCAAACATGGAATTTGGTAAAGAAACTGGGATAGTATCTTTCTCAGCTGGGATCATAATTTGTGTCAGATAGCTTATTAGGGATATTAAAACATAATTTTATTTTACAGAAACACAAGTTTTTTGCTGTAAGAATAGGACTGGTGTGAACAACATGTAGAAGATTGGCAGGGCACAGAAGAATGCTGAAGGATGATCTTCATTCATGTGAAGATGGGCAATCTGTGTCCTGTAGCCCTGGCACTCTCCTGCCTTTATGTATTATTTCCTTTTGTCTCACTTGAATAACTACAGGTTTCTGCCAGCACTGCTGTCTCCTGTAGCATGGTTAGCTGAACTGCATATTGGGAGAGGATGACATGGACTTGGGGTTGAGAGGGACAGCTTATGCCATTACTTGCCAGCAGGGACCAAACAGTCCAGCCTGGGGACTGATGCGTCCCTCATACTTTGGGCTACTTGGGGCTTTAACTGGTAGCCTGTAGCAAAAATAGACCCCATTGTGGTAGAGCTCCTTCTGACTCCTTGTAACCGCTGTCAGGCCGCCCACGAGTGAGTGGGCAGGGCTGCACTGAGGTGGTTCATTGGACTCACATTTTAATTGCCTCTGCTGTTCCCTGTTAACAGAAAAATGCTGTGTTTGTTTCCTGTGTTTTGTAGGTGGTAAGGACCAACCAGTTCTCAGTCACACGACATGAGAAAATAGCAAACGGGCTGCTGGGGGACCAGGGTCTGCCTGGTGTGTTTGTGCTGTATGAACTGTCACCCATGATGGTGAAGCTGACTGAGAAACACAGGTAAGGGACATTTCAGTCTAGTTCATTCACCCTTCGTTGATTTGGTCATTTTGCATAGCTTAAAACTTCGTCCTCACTTAGACAGAAGAGTGCAAATGCCTGAAAGCCTTCAGAGCCCCTTCCCAGGCAGTGGGGAGGAAGAGGTGCTCCCTGAGGCCCTTCCTCTCCATGTGAGCATCCATAAGGGATTGGGGTTTTTTCTGTTATTATTTGAAGCATTTTAATCCAGCATCAAGATGGAAAAGAAAACTGGTGCCAGGAGCAGAAGTCTGATGTAATGGTTCTTGGTTCAGGCTAATTTTTAGTGGGAGGGCTAGATTTACAGAGCATACCCATCTTACCAGCACCTCCAGCAGTACCCACGCTGGTCCAACGGGTTCCTTACTCTGCATTTGCTGTAGCTTTTCTGCATCTTGCAGCCAGTGTGGAACCTCTTCCTTCTCTCTGGGTTAATCACTGGCATGTAACTGCAGGGGAGTTGCAGCTCTCTGGTATTTGAGGTTCATAATAGGGGACAGACAATGTCTATATCTTAAAATGTATTAACATGTAGTTAGGGATTTAGTTTTTATGTTACAGCAGCCTGCTGTGCATTCTCTCTGGGTAGGAATGGATAATGTCTTGGGGATTAAAAGTCCATCCTTTAGGTTTATAAATTCAGTTACTTGCTCTTCATGCTACTCAGTGATGCTCTGTAAAAGTATCAGTGACAAACTCTGTTCTGTAGCCAATATTAATTCTTAAATCTATGAATTTTCAGCTATGAGTATTTAGATAATGCATACTTATGTGGTATGATGAACATTATGATAATTATGAATTAGTTTTTGTTAGTGAATTGTTCCTTACCTGAGCTCATGCTGATTGTTCAAATTATAGGTCCTTTACTCACTTTCTCACTGGAGTTTGTGCCATTGTGGGAGGCATATTTACAGGTATTGCACCTTTCAATCTTTTTTCTTTCTAAAGTGTAAACATTTGCTATCTTACTCTTTCTAAAGTCAGAGTGGCTGGTAATAAATTCCTGTTTGATGAGGAGAGATGATTTCTGCCTTCAGGAGGGGATATAGCATGTTCTGCAGAGCCACAGGAGTGGCATCAGATTGTAATTAGCACTGCAGACTTACAAGATGCTGTAGATGATGTAGATCTATTATACTATTTCATTTCATTAGACCTGTCATAATATTTCATTTTGATGCTCTACAGAGCATTTTGTTCTCAAACAAAGCTGATTTTCACACGCTATGTGAAGGCATCTGTGCTGTTTTCTTGGCCAGCTTGGGTCTGTAAGCAGACAGTTGGATTCATGTGGAACCAAAGCCAGCAAAATCTGTGAACCCAGGTTGCCATGGGTTGTAATCATCCCAGAGGTTTCAAACTGTGCTCCCAGACATAGGAGCTCCAGTGAGTGCTCTGTAGGGACTGGACAGTGTCCTGTGAGGAGAGGCTGTTCCTACAGAGCCAGCTCAGTGTCATAAAAGCATTACAAAAAGGCTCCCTGGCACCCTGTGTTCACTCTAAGGCAGGAGCTCAGGGTTCCTGTCCTGTGAAATGGTGGATGCAGGATTGTCAGGGGTTTGTGGTGCAGTAGACCTATTCTGAGTTTTTTCTGTGGTGCCAAACAAGCACTGAATTAATAGGCTTCTTCGGGGCTGGGGAGATTTGGGGAAAATACTGCAGAGAGCACTAAAGGCAGTGGTTTGGTTTGCTTTGTGTCCTGGGTGGGTGTGCATTGCAGTTTCTGATAAAGAGCAGCCATCGAGGGTAGCATCTGATAGAGCAGTTTACTTTTAAGGTTACTGTGAAATGAGCAATAAATGGGAGAGGTGTTTTCTTTCCTTGGGAGTTGTTCCCTCTTTGAGGCGTGTCTGGCTTGACCCATTTGTTTTTTCCCTTTAGTTGCAGGTTTCATTGACTCCTTGATCTATCACTCAGCACGTGCCATCCAGAAGAAAATTGAACTTGGGAAGACAACATAAATAAGCAATGACCTCAGCCCCCCTCCCCCCAAAAAAAACTCTTAAGGAGAACTAAAAAGGCTTTTTTGAAACATAAGTGATCTTCTGAGTGCACAGGAGAAAAGGTTTGGAACTTCCTGATGGCACCAACCACTCTTGTATTACTGTCCCCTCATTCCTTGGCATTAATTTGTGGATGGAAGGCTTGAACCTCGCTGCTCTAAAGATTAGCCATTGTATCTGGCTGTACAGACCCTACTGTAAAACCCCTCTTGTGTCAGTCCATGTTCATCCAGTTCTGCCCCTCCTTCCTGACAGAGATCCTGGAGATGGTGCATTCTGTTTGCCTCCAGGAATAATGTACTTTATTGTTGGGAGACCTGTAATGGATTGAAGCTGCCATCAAACAGGCTTTCCAACAACACCATCTGGGCTTTTTAATTTTTCTTACAAATGTTTCTGAGTGTGCTGCTGCTGTGTGCCAGACCTCTGTGAAAATGTGCTGAATCCCGTCCCAGTCTGGGCTGTGTGGGGAGCCCAAACACTTGGAATGTGCTTTCTATACTGGGGGGCTCCCACTTGCTTCTCTTATGAAAGATGCAAGTTCATGTTTCAGGAAAAAAAAAAAGTGTTTGGAATTTTAATGGATTTTTAAATTGGATTGGTTTTTTTCACTTCCTCTTGGTGTATATTTTGAAATGACGTCCATCCTCTCTTTGTTTTGGTAAAGCATTTGGAGGAATAATTAAATTATTTGAACTAATCCTGGTACTGAATTGGAAATTAGAATTAACAGACACACCTGCATTGTGGCAAAGTAGGTAGAGATCGTGATGATGATGGGGCTTTTTTCTTTTAAATAATCTACACAAGTGAGTAAAGTGCTTGGTATGTGCAACTATATTGGGAGAAATTTGAAAATAATGAGGAAAAAATTTTTGGGGGTTTCTTGCCTTATTTTGAGGTAAAACAGACTGCTTACACTTAAATCTCAGGTCTGGATTTGCTTTGGTATTGACTCTAATCTTGGTCCAAGAAATTGGTCCAGCAGTGCACATAGAGCATGACAGGCACAGGATCAGATACTGCAGAGAGAAAGCTGGTTTATAATTCATTTGAAAGTAGGTTTGGTTGGTTGGTTGGTTGGTTCTTTGAGTTACTTGAACTTACCTATAAACTGGAAAGTATAAAAAACCTGGTTTTGTCAACCAGTTTGAAGCAATTTGAGGTTTGTGTAAGAAGACTCATTAATCTCCAAGCTAAAATACTGAAAAAGAGGTTCGTTTTAAATGTAGTTTTTTTACAAGGATATTTAATGAATCCATTGGGTTGGGATCATACAGTACTACTGCAGTGTCTATATGTTTGATCGGGAACAAAAAGTGAGCTGAACAGCTTCAGTGGCTTACCAGAGCACTCAGCTTTGTAAGAATAGTCAGGAGGGGGGAAGATGAATGGAAATAATGCAGCAGGAGCTTAACCCCCAGTGAAGCAGTTATCAGCTACTGGCTTGTCCTTGATAAGAAAGCCAATTACTTGTAAACTTTAGAAAAGCATTGGAGAGCATTGCCCAGGGCACTGCTGAGCAAGGGAAGGTGCAAGACTCAGACTCAGAAAAGGAAACTGAGAAGAGTTGAGAAGAGAAATCAAAGATGCAGAAAGGGAGATTCTACCTGAAGAGGCAGAAAATCAGTGATACTAATAGGTAAATAATAACAGGCTTCTGCTATCAGTTGGAAGGATATGAGTACAAGAGTTCTGGTGATTTTAATAGACTTGAAAGGCTGAGTGACTAATAGCCGTGGTAAAGCTGGATCAAGGATATTTGTGATTGAAAGTGATAAAAGACATCCTGCTAACCCTGCTCCGGAGGAGAGAAACCTCCTTTGGGACAGTCCCCAGGGTCTGCAGTCTTGTTCCGCGGGTGGGGCTGAAACTGTGGCCTTTTCAAAGTTGTAAGGGGTCAAAAAGTAAAGCAAATAACAGATAAAATGTTAAGACAACAGATAAAAGTAAAGCAGATAACAGATTCACATGTTTTCAAAGTTTATTCAACATAAGATTACTTCAACTGTGTTTGATTCCATTGTCTCTGTGAGCATGTTTGATTTTTTCCTTCTTCTTTGATACAATGTAAAAATTATTTCCTTAATTATAAAAAGACAGGAAGGGGAGATACCCCCCTCAATCTGCCTAAAGAACAACTACAGACCTCCCCCAGAAGCCGTGTGTGGGTGGAAGTGTCAGCTCTGTCATGGGAACAGCCACGCTGGAGTGGCCACTGTCCCCCCCGGCACCCAGCGGCATCGCAGCCACCGGCACCAGCACAGCAGCTCCTGGGCTCCGTGCCCACCTCCAGCCCCACCAGCTCCCCTTCCTCCCTCCCAGCCAGCACGGGCAGAGCTGTGCCCACTCTGTGTCCAGCTAAACGCAACATCCCTGGTGCCACAGGAGAATGGCACCCACAGTGCCCAGCTGGTGGGACCAGCACAAGTAGCACCGAGACCCTGGGGATTGCAGGGTCTGTGAGCCCAGGTTGGGTGGAGTGGAGCAGCAAGTATTGGAGCTGCTGGCAATACAGGGGCTGCCTGTTCCTGTCCCAACAGCCTGGCTTCAGTTTCTTGGAAATGCCTCATTTGTAGAATAAAATCCTGCCTTCATCTGCCAGTCTCTCAATAATGCTGAATTCGACGTCGGCATCGTGGACCCTCGTCCTGCGAAAGGCTCCGGCCCCGTGGTTTTCCTCCCAGTAGTGGTGCCAGTTCCCTTCACTGTCTGCTCCGAAGCCAAACACGGAGACCTGTGCACAGGGCAGGAAGAGCCGTGGCTGTGTGGGCGCTGGGGCACCCCTGGAGCCCATGGACGGGCAGAGCAGGGGCAATGTGGGCACGGCCCCGGGGCCTACGGGCTGTGCTCACCTGCTGGCAGGTGTGCAGGGCAAAGAGCAGGGCTGTGAAGCCGGTGGAGGGGTAGCGCCCGTGATGCTGCGTCCACTTGTCATGGATGTACTTGAGGAATGCTGGGCTCAGGATCAGCACCTGAGTGGGGAGTGAAGGAGCCATCAGCTGCTCTCCTGCTGGAGTGGGACAGCCCAGCAGACCCAAGCAGAGCACCATCAGCTCTGCCCAGCAGAGCCCTGCCTGCCCCACGGAGCCCTTACCTTGTTTCTGTCAGCTTTGATGAACTGTCTGACTCTCACATACGTGCTGTAAAAGCAGAAGCCAGTGATGAGCGTGTGGCACTGCTACTGCTGGGGCTGCCCCTTTGTTCCCAGGGGTATCTGTGTCCACCAGCACCCAGCCCTGTGGCACCCCCAGCCCCTTCAGCTGACCCAGCAGCATTGCCGGGCCTGGCTCTAGGAAGGGACACATCAACCCTATGGCCCCCCAGTGGGGACAGCCCCCTCCCTCTTACAGGGACTGCAGGCTGTCTGAGCCCTGCAGGGACAGCTCAGTGTCCACTACCCCAAACTGCAGTGCAGAGGGATGCTAAGACATGCATCCAGCACGCTTTGTCCCACCAGGACTCCAGTGAGGCACCAGGGCCCCCAGATCACACTGTCCCATCCAGAGGGTCTCCAGCACAAGAGATGCCATCCCCCAAAGCTGACACACCGTGTGATCTCTCCGGTGGAGAAGGCACTGGTCACCCACTGCAGGTCCAGGGGCTTGAAGGGGACAAGGACGAGGTGTACGCCAGGCCCAAGGTTCACTGCACTCTCTGGGTACATGAAGTGATGGGTTGTTCTTGTGCCAACATCCAGCTCAAAGCCAGCAACCTTTGCTCTGTTCATCCTAAAGGACAGCAGGATGGTGTGTCCCAAAATGAAGGCGCATGCCGTGCTGGTCCCAGGTTCCTGGTCCCACCAGGCATGGACAGCAGGTCACCCTGGCCAGCAGCAGAGTGGGCGTGGGTGACACAGAACCAGTGTGTGGCCCAGAATAGAGGGCTCAAGGGAGCAGGTTGGCAGTCACCCCATCACAGGGTTTGTGTTTTCAACAGCATGGCTGGGGCATGCCAGGGTCCTGGGAAGACAGGGAGAGACCAAGTCTCTTCAGGTCACCCACCTCAGCACCCAGTCATGAGCATCAATTAGCAGCCCATGGCTGGACCCCTTCATCCGCCCCGAGTTCCCCACCACTGCACAAGTCCTGCAGCGAGGGGGGTCCAACACGTCACCCGTCGGGGCTCGGAGGACGCTGAAGAGCTGCCAAATTATGGCCTGGAGCTGGACACCATTCATGGGACCCTGCAGGGTCTAGGGGAACAAGCACAGTGACATGCAGCGTTAGCCCCCCACCAGTAACCCAGAGGGAGACAGAGCCCCTCTCCTCCTAGCAGAGCCCTGGGAAAGCACGGAAAAAACAGATGGGATACTAGGAAAAGGATACAGGACAGCACGGGGGACAGTGGGGGGTAAGGGGGAGGAAATGCTGAGCTGGGATCTCTGCACATGCTTCATCCCAATCACATCTGTTCTTGGTCCTGCCCCGCTGCAAAACACATTCAGGGAACCTGGGAAGAGCCACACACTCCTGCCCGCTGTCCACTCACCAGCCACCACTGAACCACGTCTGCAGAGAGCTCCTGGGCTGCCCCCGTCAGTAGGGGCCCTGCGGCCGCCTCGTAGCGCTCGTTGAACCACGCGGAGTTGTTGGCTCTGGCAGGGCAGGGGACTCCAGGGGTGTGCAGGAGGGAGGGGGCCCAAGGGACAGGGCCGAGGTCATCCATGAGGGCTCGGAAACATTGCCACAGGGCCAGCAGCAGACACAGGGCCAGCACCACCTTCGTGCGCCTCTGGTTCAGCATCCTGCGTGCCGCCTGCAGTGAGATGTCACAGAGACAGGCAGGGGCACCACAGGAGCCCTTCTCACCCACCCTCCCTGCCCAACCCTCCCGGGACACCCCTTGGCTGCTCACCCATCCTGGGGCACCTGAAATAACCTGGTTTTCGTTTCCTTTTCAAACTGTTCAAAGCCATTTTTGCTGTGCTCTGCTGCTGCCACTGCCACCAACCTAGGGCCGGTCAGGGCTGGCTGGCAGCATGTGCTGTATGAGGGGCTGCTCTCTGCCTGCAACATTTTTAAGGGTCTGCAAGCTGACCTGCGAACAAGCTCCAAAGCATCATCACCCTGGCCACAAGCCAAACCCCCCTTGCCGTCGGAGCGGTGCCCATTCCCCCCCACGTGTGTCGGGTGCCAGCAGTGGGGCCCATCCCCACCATACACCTCCCCACCAGAAGAGGAGCCCCAGGGTCTCTGCCCCAGCTGAGCACACACAGGCACAGTGCAGCTCCCACCCGAGCAGCCCTGGGGTGCTGCAGCTCAAAGGGCACTGAAGCATTGCCAGGAAGAACATTTCTGGTTTCTATCTAAAGCACTCATGTAAATGTAAAGGCAGAGGGAAAAGGGTTTTATTGTCCTCAGGGGGTTCATGAAGTGCTCAGTGACTTAGGGCTCTGCTCCTGTGGGCTGAGGCAAGAGTGAAGAGCAGAGCTGCATGCACAGGCTTCATCCCAGGGTGAGAACAGAATACAGCAGGTTTATGGAGGTGTCCCCTGTGTACTGGGAAAGTTGAAGGAAAGAAAACTCCTCCTGTCCTCACAGGAGCACTCTGTGCCTCCTCCAGTTGCCTGTGTGGGGCCATGTGTCAGCACTGGTTCCATTTCTCCACATGAACCATTTTGTGCAGCTCCTGCAGCATGGATGTCCCTGCTCACTGTGGTGCCCAAGCTGCTGCACTCAAATCTGACCCCAAGGACGTGCCCTAGACAGCAAAACTGCTGCCCTGGGAGATCCAGGCAACCAGCAGAGATGGAACAGAATGGGTGAAATTGCACCATCCCAGGTGGTTGCAGCAGGCTGTGCTCCCTTTGTCCTTCCCAAAAGACACTAAACTCTCACCTCATATTGAAAGGGAAAGCAGAAACAAGTCATCACCGGCACTCCGGAAACCCAGATGTGAGTTCTCTCAAGCAGGAAGCTGCTGTGAAATCCCGGCTGTTCTCCCCTCAGGCTCAGGGAAACTCCAACAGCCTGCACCCTTCCTGCTGGCAGTCACAGGCTCTTTTGCCCTCCTGCAAACAGCCACGAGCATTTGCCATAGTGGAGGCAAAGAGCATCCATCTGAGGTAATGGTCAGGCCAGGTGCCAGCAGTCCCTGGGCTGGTTCAGGCACTTGTGGAGCCTCAGAGATTTTCAAGCCACAGGTCCTGGAGGGGTGGGAGTGGGCAGGGGGCTCCAACAAGCCCAGAGCCAGGGGACCCAGCAGTCACCTGTGGCTGGGGCAGGCAGGGCTCTGGACAGGCAGAGTTGAGTGGCCTCATCTCCCCACCCATGCCCCTGTGCAGCCCCTGCTCCATGGATGGGACCCCTCCACCCGCACCCCCACCACCATGGCAGTTCAAATGACCCCACTGTCCCTGTGTCCAGAGGTCCCCTGGCCTTGGAGCTCCCCAGCCCAGAGACACTGGCCACGAGCCACCACACCTCAGCCATGTGGCCCCTGCACTGGGCTGCACTCAGTGCCCACGGACCTGTCTGTTCCCACTCAGCCCCAAGGAACACTGCCAGGAGCTCCACAGTCCCACAACAGGGAAAGAGCCTCTCCTGGTGTCATGACCTCTTGGTTCCCAGCCAGACCCCAGGGCCCCTCACCTCCTTGGGGGAAGCGCCGCTGAGCAGGTGATGCTTCCGGGCTCGGGGGCCTCTGCAGGGCTTGTTGCAAGAGCAACAACAGCCACGGGAAGAGGAAGTGTTGCACCATGACGTGGGGGAGAACAGCGAGTGGCACAGTGAGGTCAGGGCTGCTGTCCCTTCTCCAGCAGTACCTGCCACTGGCATCCTGGCACAGTCCCTCCACACAGCCCTGCACCGTGGCAGCTGCTGGTCCCGCTGGGGCTGGATGGCCTGGTCATGTGCCCAGGGCCAAATCAGGAAATTAATGATCAAAAAGTTCCTCTGAAGGTGGGAGAAGCTGCTTTGAGTGGAACTGCCCTCCTGCCCCTGTGTGTCCTGCTGGGATGGCTCACTGACACAAGCAACACGGAGTTCTCAACAGCCTCGTGCATCCAGCACTTCACCAGGTTTCTTTTGCTCACCTGGATGGGATTTTGGCTCAGAGAAGACAGAGAAGGACTGTGAAATGCACCTTGGCAACTAGAAAAACACAGCCAGTGGAAAAGCAGTGCCAGCTGAAGTGTGAGTAGTTTTATCCAAGGGGAGGTCAAACACTCTGCTTTGCAAGGTTTGGTGCCAAGACAAAGGATCTAGAAATTCAAACTAGAGCACCCCTGCAAAATACAAAAAGTCAGTATTTATTGGTGACAGGCTCAAAGGGCCTCTGCACCACTTCTGGGGAACCAGGCACTGAGCTGCCACAGAGCACATTTTCTGGATCACACACAGAATGAAACATGGGTGGGAGGAATTAGGGGCAGTACTGGCTCTGTGATGCTACCTTCACAGCACTTGTTTGCATTCCCAAGGTCCAGCCCACTGCAGCTCCCGAGCCCGGCAAGGCACAGCACTGCCCCCCACAGCCGTCACTTCCATCAGCACTGGCAGAGCAGGGAGCTCCAGGGAGCAGAGCAGGGAGACCACAGGACAGCAGCACGGACAGGGCAAGGCAGGGCCTAGGCATGGGGCAGCAGAGCACACCAGGGCCGTGGCTGAGGCAGGAGCACTGCTGTGGAGCCCATGGGCTGCTGTGTTCTCGCCCCTTGGCTGGCTGAGAGGTTCTCCAAGACAGCCCAGAGGAGGGGTGGGCTGGGGGACGAGTGCTGGGACAGCAGGAGTGCAGATGGTAGCTTGGAGAATTGCATTTTAAGCAGCTGATCAGATCTTCCTTCTTGAATTGAAGCAGCTCCTACTCGCTGAGCACGTGAACAAATGACACAGGGAAGGCACCTTTCCTCTGGGGCTGCCCTTCAATCCACCCTTTCTGTGGGGAGACAAGAAGGAAAAGGAGCAGTGAGCACAACACGGGGGCATTCAGGGGGATGAGGAACCGGACCCGTAACAGTTTCCTTTGATTACCAGGGAAAAGATGGAGAGAGAGGTGCAGAGCAGGAGATGACAATGTGTGCAACAGTCGTGGGACAGAGGTGGGAAATGTCTGGAGAGGGGATCATGTGCATCCAAGTGCCAGCTACATGCACAGGTTCACTCACCCACCAGTTGCTGTCCTCCTTTTCAGACACCACAATGACCTCTCCTGTGTGGAAAGTCAGCTCATCCTCCCTGTCAGCGTCGCAGTCGTAGAGAGCGCGAACCCTGCGGAGCAGCCGTCGGTTCTGCAGGGAGAGAACATCGTCAGACACAACTAAAATTGTGCCACTGTCCTGATCCTAAAGGCCCTGGCAAAGGTGTGAAGAGCAAGGATGAGAGACTGGGAGATTTCCTGTGCAGAGAGGAGTGGAGGGGTAGCAGATCATCTGCTGGGAGTTTGGGTGGGACAGGGGCTCCTTCAGCTGGAACATCCTTCCAGAGGCAGCTGCTCCTCTGCCCCAGGACTGTGGCATGTGCCCGTGCAGGGTATGGGGTCCCCATTCTCTCAGGGCAGGTCTGTGTGAGGAGTCAGCGGTGCTGACTTGTGTCATCACAACCCTAAGATCAAGCAACCCAAGCAAGGTGTCCCTAATGAAAGGGCTCTGCCTCTGCAGTATCATCAGGAAGAAAGGTGTCCCCTGCAGCCCAGAGGGGCAGGGCCAGTATGGACACTGCACTCTTTGTGTCTAAAACTGCACTCCCTGACCTGACAACCTGAAATCATGAACGGCAGGAGTAGTGTTCCCAGCACTTAGCAGGGAGATGTCAATGCCAGGGAATCACAGAAATGCTGGAAGGAGAAGTTGCTAGGGCCAGCAGCAGCTCAGGTCAAAACCAAAGGGGATAAATACTGGCAGACGTGGGAGCTGAGCTGCCCCTGGCCACCTACCAAACTGCTCCTCTGAGGAAGTGGGACATTCCACGCATGGCCAGAACATGGATCTGGCTCCTGGAAAGATCGGTGTGGGCCAGGCTCTTCTACTTTGCTGGAGCCAGACGTGCAGAGGGGGTCCATGGCTTTCAGGGCACCTAAAACACAACCAGGCTGGTTCATCTGCTCACACCTTTCATCACAGGCGGACAACAGCAACCACCACTGTCAGGCAACATGGTGCAACATGGTCCTCCACAATGGTACAGTGTGGGCAGCAAGTACCCTATCAGTCTGGGAGCTGGAAAGAGGAGGGACTGGGGACAGGGGAGGGACTGGGAACAGTTGTGCTGCTCTTCAAAGCAGGGATCAGTGCTAGGTCAGACCAGCCAGCCTTGGACACTGAGGAGTAGAGGCCCAAAGGGCAACGCATGGCACCAGGCAAGCCCTCCCACCCTGTTGGGGCCCAGCTCCCTCCCAGACCCCACTCTGCCAGCGGGGCCAGGCTGCAGCAGCAGCAGCTCACCCTGCCAGCCCCCACAGGACCCCACCACAGGCTCTCACCTGGCTGTGCCCGCTGGGGCGGGAGTGGAGGTGGATGGGAAGGGGCCGGTGGCACATCCACATGTAGGTGGTGGGCTGGCGAGGGGCAGGGGTCTGGCCACCCCCCCTGGGGCACTGCCTCAGCTGCCTCTGGCCGGGGGACAGCAGCAGCGGGGTGGTAGCAGCTCTGGGGATGGGCAGATCCCCTCTTCTCAGGACCCATCTGGGAAAGGGGGTTGCAGATTGGATGGAGGGTGTACGGGTGGGAGGTAGAGCAGCACCCACGTCAGTGCAGGCAGCAAGGCCGCAGCAGCACACACGGGCCCAGCCCAGCCCCCCTCAGCACCTCACCTTCTCATCCAGGTCTTCGTCACTCTCAAACATGTCGTCTTGTCCCAGCCACCACTCGTATTCCACATGGACGTGGGGGTTGAATTGATTG